AGTCTTAATAGTGATTGATGACGTTACAATAGCAAATATTGTTATAGTCTCATCACAACATTTACCTTCTCAATGCATTGCACTGGAATGATGCAGAGCAAATGTAAATATTGTAGTGTATTGCCACAATGTACAAATCCCAAACTTTATAGACATGTATAAGACACGAGTACCATATGACCCTGCCTATTCAGTATTGGCCCCGACGACACTCTACGCCCAGAGGGCTTCATAGGTAGGTAAGAATATACCATTTTAGTACCGTTTTTTCTCTCCCACTCAGCCAAAAAAGTTTTTTTTATGATACTGAGTGTGCCCATAATGGTATAATATATGTTGCCAAAATACCAGAAAAGTTTATATTGATCCCATGCCAATGATGCTGTGAACAATTTATTATCGATCTGAGAAATCGAACATTTTGGCAATATACTTCAATAATCATTCAAGTCAATATGGCAGTGAACACACACCGAATCGTCGTCATTCGATGGTAAACCGTAGAGAGAATACAGGATTCTTTTAACATTGTAAAGTCCCTGACAATTGTGTTCTGTCTATGAGTGCCCGTACTTTAGGGAAAATTGAGCACCATGACAGAAATATTGAAAATTAAAACCAACACGAAATTAGTGGTTTCACAGTTTATCATATTACCTCCAATCTGTGTTGCGAAACATAAAAATATGCTTAGCATGACAAATTTAAAATAAGTATTCCCTGTTTAAGCTGGTACATGTAATAACAATAATAATGTCCCTATCATCATCTATACAACAGTATCAGATAAAGTACCTCCTGATCCTCATATATTATCAGTTCTGTAAAATAAGATACACTCCCGAAGTGCGGACATCACTTTGCTGAACTCACTGGATCTACAGAAAGCTCTGGGATTCATCCGACTGTACCTGGTTCAGACCGTCAGACAGTACAACTGCATACACAAGACACTCATACAGTATCTTAAAAACACGAGACTCATATGATCAATCACCCCAACGGAACAGAGGACCACCACACCTTCAGTAAAACTTCAACAAACTGGAAGTGTGGATCAAAGGTCACAACAAAGAAACAAAGATATCAGTCAGAGCACTGATCCTGGTCACGATATGCTCAAATGGAAGGCTACAGATAATGCCTTTTTGGAGAGAAATGGATCGTATGTGTTCAACTTCAGATTGAACCTCACTGTGAACAAATTGCAGGGATTGCACTACACTGAAATAGATTTTATATGATTTTAATTTCATTGAACTTGATAAAAGATTCAAAAAATTGAAGGCATTCAAAATGGATTGCTATCAGAAAGATAGTGCTTACCCTGTATAAATATTGCCAAGGAGAGTTCCTAGCCATATGCTTGTTTGACTGTTGGTGTCAAGGAAGAATCAAGGGAGGAAACTGTGAAGCCTTCTGCATGATTAAAATGAGAAATGTCCAACATGTGAATATTTTGCTATCGTCTGCAAATGAAATGTGAAAAATAATGTTCCTCATTTGAATCAGCTGGAGATGGTTTTTTTGTAATTTTATCCTTCACATGTGCCATATACACACATCGATATTATAAAAAAAAAAAAAAAAAAATCTCAATTACAAATCATCGTCATCATTCATGATATAATGAAACTATATATGTAATCTCTCTTTTAAATCTATAAAATGTACGACTAAAAAAATCTGAATTCTTGTGACAAATTGTTTTATTTGTAGCTATAAGTTGGACTGTGATTGATTTCAAATATAAGGAGAAATGTTTTTATCTGGACAGTGATAGCAATGTCAAAACTTTACCATGATCAGGGAGTCCGACATAGATTTGATGGGAAACATAATTAATGTATCCCATCAACAGAGCTGTAACAGCGATGCAATCATAACCTTTTCAGTAGTAGTCGAAGACTAATGGTATGACGCCGACAACGGTGAGTTTATCATGAACAATTCCAAAAGAAGCTGAAGATTTAATATTATTTTATTTGTGTTAGTTTATTGAAGTCATTGCCTTACAATGGAACGCTAATAATGTTTCAATTTGCTCATGATATTATGATAGCTATGAGGTAAGTTAGAAGGAAGTATTGTCAGACATGTAATGACATTGTTTTGTAGGCAAATAATATTTTGCAATATACTTGTGATATTTTTGGAAATTTTTACTAAAACTTATTATGCTGTGAAATGTGTATTTACGATGCTAGAATTGTGATTGAATTGCAACTTGAAGTTAATTGCTGTGGTATGACTTTTGTAAACAATTACAGATTGAGAGTTGGAAGATCAGTTATGAAATAATAACCCCGAAATCATACATAAAAGTACAAAATTTTAAGCCAAATTTAAGTCAGTCATTTGTTTGATATCATTTGACTAATATTCAATCTTAGTATTTTTGAGGTTCTTTGATTTCTCGATTTGATATAAAAAAAATGTCGAACAATTAACTTAAATAATCAGCAACTCTATAATAATACCCACTTTCCCATTACATACTCCGTATACTCATGCCTACATTGAAATATTGTGTGTTCCTATGTAAAAACAATTTCTGATAAATTGATCTAGTCATTGATTGATATGTTCTGTTTGTTTAAAATTACTTTTGTTTTGTAGTGAAATATCTCATCCCATTTCCATTGCTTCTTTTAAAAATCAGTGTGTAAGTTTTCATTCAGTAGAATGATCACTTGTTCATCTGAGAGAGAAATAATGTGAGTGCTATATACATAAAAAGGAATTTTGTTCATTGGTTAAAAAAAACCAAGAAAACATTTTTTTATTGTTAACAGGAACAATTCTGAAGTGAAAGCTGATAATATGTTACAAATGAATGGTTGTGAACATGCCAGTATGATGTGATTGAGACTTCTTGGTGAAATATTTGTCACAAGTATAAATGTTTTCAACTCAAAAAGATCCTACTTACAGGCACAAATCTTCATGGACAACGAGTTTAGGTAAAACATCAATGGATACATTGTATTTCGGATATCATAGAGTGATTGAAAAATCACCAAGCCAGCATTGATTTTTCCGAATCTTTTAAGTCTGTTGTATACGGAAGCCTATACGTGTCATTTTGAATTATTTCCTTATCTCGTTAAAACAAGATAGCTATCTCGTTATAACAAGATAACTATCTCGTTATTACAAGATAGCTGATATCGTTATAATAAGATAACTGTCTTGTTATTACGGAGCCCCTTTGGGGACATGCTGATATTATTTTTTATCTCGTGCGCACGAGATAATTATGACGTGCGAACGAGTTAATATGTCGTGCGCATGAGATAAATATGTCGTTCGCATGAGATAAATATGTCGTGCGAACAAATAAATTATATCGTGCGAAATATGTTCAATATTGTTACATAGGTTTCAGTCGTATGTGTCACATCATGCCCAAGTAGTGGAATTAATGGAATACGGATCTTGAAAAAAAATAAAGGCTCCACTATTGATTTATTGTTGACAATGCACACTCTGTACACTGCAATATACGTCATACTACACTGAAGGGACCTCCACGTTCTTATTATGAGAACCTTTATTTTTCCTAGAAAAGCGAATGACTTTCCAAGTATATGGTTGTGAAGTTCTTTGAAGGATATTTTGTGGAAAACACCACAAAAGCCAAGATAAAAATATACGGATGATGAAATTTTGATTACAGGATGTTTTAATGGTGTCTTAGTTTACAGTACATCCTTGCTTGACTCTATATTTCTTTTCATGTTGAATGAAAACTTGTTGAACAAGAAACTTCTTTGTGTGCAGTGATACCTTGTTAGGCTCGACGTTTGTCTGTATGAGCATAGACAGTTTATAGAACTAGACATGTCATTACGCACAGTGAAACTTTGTTGTTGATGTTTATTTGTTTTTTAAGTGTGTTTACAAAGTGTATATAGTGTTACCTGGTTTGCCCAGCTACTTCTTAGCTAGATTGGGTTCCTTTATGAACATTGAAGCTATGTGAGATTGGATACAATTTTGTGTATAGTAAAACCTTATTTAACCATTAAGGTGTCAGACTTTGTTTTGACCTTTTAAGATTAGACACTTGTTGTATACAGTGAGGCCTTTGTAGATTGGCTTCTTGTTTGTGTATAGTGAAATCTTAATTACATCAAACTCATAATTGTATATACAGTGGAGCAACATTCCTTTTGGCAGATCGTTAACATTTTTTAAGAGCATAAGTTCGAATAAATGAATATTATTAATGCTACATATTTTAATATGTATACATTTCAACATAGGTTTCCATGTTAATTTACATAAATATCTTTAATATATGAAACTAAGTGTTATTTTATATCAATCGATATACATACATACTTTGGAAATGCCATTAGTCACGATCTGATGGTGATCTCTCATCGTAAATGGAGGTCGATACCTGATGAAACAGTCTACATCAGTATTGTAAAATATTGCTTGACTGATCAACCGAGACAGTATATCATACAACCACCCAGTATAAACTCCCAACGTGCTTTAGGTAGGATGTAAACAGATATATATTTCACGGGGCAGCGTGTACACTTGTGTAGCTGTAGTCAACCTTGTATAGCATTGGTGTATTGGTATCTACGGACATGTGAATAAATAATACATGCATGATCGGTATCTAATTGCTCACACATGTGTGTCAGTTTTATATGCATAGTGTGCGTCTAAAAAACTGTCTTGCTGTGTATGGATAATATTTATATGCAGTGCAGAACTGTAAAATTGTGATGTTTTCGTGTGTTGTATGAAGTGAAAAATTATGATTTTAGTAGTATATGGTAAATACAAAATAAAGACAAAATCACACGGCCTTATGTTATAGTATTGAACTAAATACAGCCAAAATATTCCTTACAGGTCACCTGTCTATAGCTATAGACCAGTTAAATAATGTACGTAACCTTATATTACTGGTTTATAAATAGTGTCACGTTGGTCTTCTCACTTGGGTGGTTTTTAAAAATGCGTATAGAATGCACAGTTTGTATAAAAAAAAACATTGATCTATGCACAACACATGTGTGTTGTTGATGAAAGTTCATAATTTAGATTTAACTATTACCAGAAAGGATCATTCTCCCTAGAGAAAAGAAATCAAGGTGTACCGGTGAAACGGTCCTAGATGAAACAATTTGACGTCATATATACTTGTGTTTTTATGTACAGTATGGCGACGTATACTAGTGTGCTCTACAGCAGACGTGTATGTATACTACCGAGATGACACGGGTGGCTGGCCGACGTCTTCATTGTGTCTAGACCACTAGGGATGTGAATAACCGGTCAAATGGTGAGCATCAGGACATACAGCCGCAGGAAATTCGTGAGTAAGTTTTGATGTTTGATTGTGAAGACGATGTGCGCTTAAAGAATTCTTTATTTCCATTCAATTATATACTTAAGTCTGCTGTGGACCTGTGTCACTCTGGTGCAAATCATCGCCAATAATCCAGTGCATTATACACACAAGCCAATGAAACCGGAAACCCGTGAGTTTACACTACTACGGATATTGTTGTTTCCTTTCATTGTTACTCAAAGTTATTAATAGGTTTAACTTCATCGTAAACCGCAAAATATTATGAATAATCGTATGAATTTTTTCCCAATGTCATGTGACAAGTGGAAAGTTCATTTTTGTATACGGTGTTCTATATAAGGAAGGAGGATTGTTTTATTCAAGACAATAAGTCTATTTGTTTACACAGTGTTCTGTACCAGGCAGAAAGCTTATTGGTTTGTTTACACAAGTGTTCTGCACTAGGTAGGGAGCGTATTTGTTTACACTGTGTTATATATGAGTTTATATGTGTAGGAAGCTTATTTGATTACTCGGTGTTCTATAGAAGCTTATTTGATTACTCGGTGTTCTGTAGAAGCTTATTTGTTAATGTGGTGTTATATATGAGCTTATGCGTTTACACAGTGTTCTGTAGCAGGCAGGAAGCTGATTGGTTTGTTTACACAGTGTTCTGTACCAGGTAGGAAGCTTATTGGTTTGTTTACACAATGTTCTGTAGCAGGCAGGAAGCTTATTGGTTTGTTTACACAGTGTTCTGTACCAGGTAGGAAGCTGATTGGTTAGATTACACAGTTTTCTGTACCAGGTAGGAAGCTTATTGGTTTGTTTACACAGTGATCTGTACCAGGGGGTGTTCTCGTTTCCCCCACTTTTTATATAACAAAGGAAAATGTTGGAAGACAATGGCAAACCAATTATAGTCTGTTTCATACTTACCCCACAGGTAACTTATCTGTGTGAAAGTTACCTGTGTGACTTGTAGCTTTGTTGGGTAAAAATAAGGTTTTAATACTTTTTTGGGGTTCAAATATCTTTATATATAATCGATATATTTTTTATACTTATACATATGTAGAGTTTACAGTCAAATATTTACATTACACTTTTAAACAGATGATATAGAATATAACAGCACTACATAAGAGTTCACAATCTATTACAATTTTAAAATACATTACCAATATTCACATATTAAGAATAGTAAAGTTTAGTAGTAGCAATCTGAAATTGGCCCCCTCAAATGTATATCATATCTCCAATTTAAAGTTCAAGTCCAACAGCCAAGAGGCAGACATTTTTGTTGTTATCTATCCCAAATGTAAGAGATGTTATCTTTATTTGATACTTATATATCATGTATTTTGAATTACGGGTGTGAAGTATGGGGTTATAGTCCTGCACCGCAGATTGAAAAAATACATTTATTTTTGAAAACCGTACTGGGTGTCTGGAAAACAGTAAATAATGTCATGGTTTATTTTGAACTTGGAGTTACCCTTTGCATATACAGCGTAGGATTGCCATTGTAAAGTACTGGCTGCAAATATTAAAGCCTAATAACTGTATTTTGAGGGCCTGTTACGATGAACTTTTAGAGCTTTATAACAGGAAACCAAATTGTGAAGCAAATTGGGTTTATCATCTGAGACGTGATTTGTGTACGTTGGGTTTTGGAGATGTGTGGTTGGCACAATGTGTACCAAATGAGAAATCTTTTTTATTATTATATATACAACGCATAAAGGATAGTTTTATTCAGGAAATGAGAAACATATTCGAGACATCTTCACAATGTTTGTTGTATAAACACATTGTTGACCGTTTTGATCTACAATAGTATTTTACAAAACCGCTATTTAGAAGAAATAAATGTATTCTTGCGAAACATAGATTGCAAGCACATAACCTTAATATAGAGACAGGTAGATATAATGCAGTGCCTCGAAACCAGAGATTGTGTACTTTATGTGATCTTGGAGATGTCGAGGATGAGTTTCATTTCATTCTTATGTGTCCTGTGTTTTTTAGAATTAAGAGTATCGTATATCAAGCCATATTATTTATATATATGATTAATATTTAAATGATTTTTAAAATTTATCATTACAAATCTGATTTTTTTTTTATAATGTGTTATTTAATCAAATATGATAAAACACCACCTTAGATAGAAGGGTTAACCACAGGTAACAACACAAGTAAAAACAGGTAAAACCACAGGTAAATACTGCCCATACTACTTAGAAACAGACTATAATCCTTCTAACAACAATCTTCCCCCCATGTTATTTTAAAAAGTGGGGGAAACGAGAACAAGCCTGTACCTGGTAGGAAGCTTATTGGTTTGTTTACACAGTGTTCTGTACCAGGTAGTAAGCTTCTTGGTTTGTTTACACAATGTTCTGTACCAGGTAGGAAGCTAATTGGTTTGCTTACACAGTGTTCTGTACCAGGTACAATGTGAGAAGCTTATTTGATTACTCGGTGTGCTGTATAAGTTTATTTGATTACGTAGCTTATTTTGTTAATGTGGTGTTATATATGAGCTTATGTGTTTACACAATGTTCTGTGCCAGGTAGGAAGTTTATTTGTTTACACAGTGTTCTGTACCAGGTAGGAAGCTTATTTGTTTACACTGTGTTCTGTACCAGGTAGGAAGCTTATTTGTTTACACTGTGTTCTGTACCAGGTAGGAAGTTTATGTGTTTACACAGTGTTCTGTACCAGCCAGGAAGCTTATGTGTTTACACAGTGTTCTGTAACAGGTAGGAAGCTTATTTGTTTACACAGTGTACTGTACCAGGTAGGAAGCTGATGTGTTTACACAGTGCTCTGTACCAGGTAGGAAGCTTATTTGTTTACACTGTGTTCTGTACCAGGTAGGAAGCTTCTGTGTTTACACAGTGTTCTGTACCAGGGAGGAAGCTGATTGGTTAGATTTCACAGTTTTCTGTACCAGGTAGGAAGCTTATTGGTTTGTTTACACAGTGTTCTGTACCAGGTGGGAAGCTTATTTGTTTACACAGTGTTCTGTACCAGCCAGGAAGCTTATGTGTTTACACAGTGTTCTGTAACAGGTAGGAAGCTTATTTGTTTACACAGTGTTCTGTACCAGCCAGGAAGCTTATGTGTTTACATAGTGTTCTGTACCAGGTAGGAAGCTGATGTGTTTACACAGTGTTATGTACCAGGTAGGAAGCTTATTTGTTTACACAGTGTTCTGTACCAGGTAGTAAGTTTATTGGTTTGTTTACACAGTGTTCTGTACCAGGTAGGAAACTTATATGTTTACACAGTGTTCTGTACCAGGTAGTAAGCTTCTTGGTTTGTTTACACAATGTTCTGTACCAGGTAGGAAGCTAATTGGTTTGGTTACACAGTGTTCTGTACCAGGTACAATGTGAGAAGCTTATTTGATTACTCGGTGTGCTGCATAAGTTTATTTGATTACGTAGCTTATTTTGTTAATTTGGTGTTATATATGAGCTTATGTGTTTACACTATGTTCTGTGCCAGGTAGGAAGTTTATTTGTTTACACAGTGTTCTGTACCAGCCAGGAATCTTATGTGTTTACACAGTGTTCTGTACCAGGTAGGAAGTTGATGTGTTTACACAGTGTTCTGTACCAGGTAGGAAGCTTATTTGTTTACACTGTGTTCTGTACCAGGTAGGAAGCTTCTGTGTTTACACAGTGTTCTGTACCAGGGAGGAAGCTGATGTGTTTACACAGTGTTATGTACCAGGTAGGAAGCTTATTTGTTTACACTGTGTTCTGTACCAGGTAGGAAGCTTCTGTGTTTACACAGTGTTCTGTACCAGGTAGGGAGCTTATTTGTTTACACAGTGTTCTATAGGAGGTTATTTGTTTACACAAGTGCCATGCACAAAGTAGGAAGCTTTTTTGATTACTTGGTTTTCTATAAAAGCTTTTTTGTTTACGCAGCCTATTTTTTACGTGGTGTTGTAAAGGAGCTTCTTTGGTTACGCAGTGTTCTACACAAAGACGGAAGCTGATTTGTTTATAAAACCCTGTTGTTCCAGTTATTTGTTGACGAAGCGTTCTATTCAAAGCAGGATGCTTATTTTTGTAACGCCGTGATCTGCACAAGGTAGGAAGTTATAAACCGTGTATTGTGTTCGTGATTGCCATTGTTTTCATTAGTACTTATAATTTAACGAGTACCATTACGTTATCCTTCGCTATAGAGTTACAGGTTAATTGTTAATTACATGAGTCGTGTTTATCAGTGCAATAATGTGTGACCTTATATTGACTAATTAATAGAACATGCTTGCATTGTGATTGGCAACTGCAAATCACGCCTACAGGGCTCGAACGAGACATAATAAATGCTACAGCTGGGCAGACTATCATTCCAACGTAGTATTTTGCTTTATAAACTACATTATGTGAAAATACCGATAATGTTAATTTGAAGAAGATACACGGACCTAATGATAATAACAATACATGATTATAATTTACTCATATAAGCTGTACTGTTTTTATAATAAACTGAAGTGAAATTGAACACGATAGGTGTACGTGAGTTGTTTATGTAGTACTACGTATCTAGTACGTTATTGATTTGCTATACATTTTTTTATGGCACTCCTGTTTAGTAGCATAATTATTACCGAGCATATTCACTGGACTTTTAACTATAGAACTACTTGTTTGTTTACAAATTACATAACAACCTGAATCGCTTGGTTGAATAGGACAGTGTGTCGGTGAAATCAAGTGTAAAAACACACAAATCAGTCTTTTGGGACAGTAAGTCATTTGCTACAGGAAAAACCGAGCCCGTAATCAAGAAACCGTTCTCAGACTCAAACATGGATTCTGTGGTCAAATAAACTTTCTTGTAACTGGCATAAAACCAAGCGTTGAAAATTGAAAACGGTATTCGGTTCTCTCCAAAACCGCAGACAAAATGTTATTTATTTTTATCACCAGAACAGGAATATAGGCTTGTACACAGAATCTCGGTTTGAGAATTAGAACAGTTTATCGAGTACTGCCCAAGGTGTGGAAGACAATAGCCCACAGCTTGATGCCAGACGAGTATACTCACTCACTGCAACAATTAGTGGTGATCAATAGAAGGAATTTCCATATTCCATGTTTTATGGAATGCTTTAACGTGATGGAAAACGCCATGTGTCACACACGAAGCAACAACTGTGACACACTGCCAGACCTAGGTATCTCTAAAATTTCCTTTTGAATTTAGCCTGTTTGGCTCTTATTTTTGTTTGTTTTTGTTTTTTGTTTACTTTTTCACTTTTGAGTTTCAATGTCGTTTCTTCTTACAGTAATCAAAATTATTTGTTTGCTTGGTTTCAGCAGGAGACTGGTGACAATGGACGTGAAGTGCCTTCACGAGCAAATCAGAGCCGGCGACGTCAAAGCTGTCCGCAGATTGACCTCCAATAGCGTTGACGTGAATAAGGTTTACTGTCGTGACACCGCTTTTAGCCTCGCTCTGGATCAGCAAAACGTCAATTGTGACATAGTAAATTTACTTTTGTCTTGTTCTCAATTCGACCCAAATTCAAAGAATCACTTTGACAGGACTCCTCTATTCTGTGCCGCCAAGCTTGGTAACATTGACATTGTGAACCACCTTTTGACACTTGGAGTCCACGTGGATCAGGCTGACCTTGAAGGAGTGACCCCTCTTGGGGCAACAGCTTGGTACGACGCGGCCGAGGTGGCTGATGCTTTGATAAGAGCGGGAGCGGATGTAAACCTATGTAACAAACGCGGTGAATCGCCCTTACTTCGGGCTTGTTCGAATAAATCTTTCAATGTTGCGAAAGTTTTAATGGAAAACGGATGTGACGTCAATAAACAGGCACTGGACTTCCAATCACCATTAATGGAATGTATCCCGTCTTCGTTTTGTACAAGACATCCTTGCGATATGACAGAGCTTCTCAGTCTTCTTTTAAAACATAATTGTGACACAAATTTACAAGACAGGTGTGGATGTTCCGCCTTACACCTAGCTGTGGAGAGAAATCAACTTCTGTCTGCCTGTATTTTAGCCGAGAACGGATGTGATATGGCGTTGAGAAATAACGACGGGTTGACAGCGATGCATATAGCCATATCGCCAGGACGTCAGAATTTCAAATTCGCGTCCTGTTTGATATCTTATGGGTGCGACCTTCATACTATATTTCCAGAAATTGACAGTGACAACGGACCAATAGCGTTGATTTTGAAAGGTATGACAACATCGCAAATGTCTCCAAAAGCGACGTCGACGGAACGTCGATTACTACTCAAACTTCTGTTGAGTGATTTAGACCACTTTAGGCTCTGCAAAGGTAAGCTAAAAAAACTAATGGATGACCACGTTCGAGACAATGGTCTTCACAGTGATCTGGACACCGTTGCAAAGTTTTGCCTTGACAGATCGCCTGATTCACTGCAAGGGATATCTAGGCGAAAAGTCAGACGCAGTCTTGGTCAAAGAATTATTCAAAAGGTTCATACACTTCCACTTTGTGCATCGATAAAACATTTTTTAACTTTTGGATTGAATCATTGTCAAACCAATCCAACCAGACTATTAGAACTACAACTAGCTGTTAAAAACGGACACGTGAAGAAAATTCTAGAAATGCAGAAGTCAGGCGTGGATGCAAACTTTCCATTCTTGGGGAACACTCCTCTGTTAGTAGCAGTAGAGCATGGTCAGGACGCATCTATGCAGGCCTTGATATCAGGAGGAGCAGATCCCAACGTCCATGGCTTCGAGGGAGATAGTGTGCTTCACATCGCAGCTAGATTCGGCAGAGAAAGCATGGTGGATTATTTCATTCAGTACGGATGTGATGTTAACGCCGAGAACAAGAAAGGGAATCTGCCAATCCACGATGCTTGTCAAAGTGGGAACTTTTTATCAGCACAACTCCTTCTGTCGAAAGGAAGTCTTATCTCGCTTCCCGATAACTGTGGGATCTATCCAATTCACTACATAGCTGCCAGCGGAGACTTGGAAACAATACGTTGTATACTCGCGAAAGATTCGTCCGTTAATATGGTCGATACATTAGGAAATACTCCTTTGCACCTCGCTGCTTCAAACGGGATCCTGTATCTAAGGCAGAACATCCATTTACCTTGGTTATACTCAAGTGAGCTGACGATGAACCTAGACATGATGAACATCATACACAGCGATAAGAAAACCCTTGGATCTGCTGCCAAGGCGAGCAGACGGCACAAGGAAATCGTAGAAGAACTAATAAACATGAGGAGTGATAAAGCAAGAGAGAACACAACCGGGCAGACGGCATTATCCGTTGCGCAGGAATTCGGATGTCTGGACTATTTTCAAATGGAAGATACAAACTTGACCTAGGACTGGACTTGCTGAATACGATTCAACCGTGACTATAGTGACAGAATGTGGAAATTTTGATACCTTATAATATTTATCTTTGAAATCACGGCTTCCGCTATTGATACAAATACCTTGGCAACACAGAAGGCAGCAATTACGCAGCTAGCTTTTTGATCGGTTGCTAACATAAACAAATCAGACCAATCACTAAGCTGAAACCTGTGATTTAAAGATTAAAGAGGAGCAACACCCGACTTCAAAGCCGGTCATTTTTGCAGATGCTATCGAGCGATTCTTCTGATTTACATCAAAGGATTTAACTATCCTACTTGTACCATCCGTAAGGTGGTGTGTACAGGGCCTGTAGTTTTGTCATGGTATATTCCAAGGATAAAGGGAAGATGTATGTATCGAGAACGGAACCTTTTTAATTTCTGAAATGAAAAATATTATCTTTAAATAATACTTTACCTCAATAATATTGTTTCTCAGAACATTGCAAACAACGACTGTTTTGAAACCATTCATATGATTTCTGTGAATTCAAATATCGAAATAAGCTTATCATATTCTTGAACCTGGGACATATGATTTTAGACATGTTGAAAGTGTAAATGAACCATCTTTGTACGCAGAGGGGATTTTCTTTAACAAATATTCATGTCACTGTTTTCATCTTGCTTGTAACAAGCATTTTCATTGGCTTACAATTTATGTTATCAGCCCATAAAGTAAAAAAAATGACGTCGCCGTTTGTAACGTCGCTTTTGATTTGCTGATACAGCGGCGTAATAATTTCTAAGAGAAAAGAGTCCATCAATGAAAGTGGATTTCCACAGGGATTGTGTAAAGTAGATTAATTTATAAGGATTGACTTGAATAAAAAAAAAATGTTATGGAGCTATAACCCCAAAAAACAGAGTGTACTCTCATCATACTATTTAGAGTACACTCCTTAAATAACAAACAAATATTAGATATATAAAAAGGGGTTTTGTGTCACACACGAAGTAACCGTCCTCGCCATAAACCTTTTATAAACAATAATTGTTGCGCCGAAGCGACGTATGTATTGTATTTTGAATTATTTAGCTTTGAAAACATGAAACATGCACAATTTTTCCATATGATATGTTAGGTTTAAAATCATCCATTATTATTAACACATCGGTATTGGTCAAAGTTGGTAAAAGGAAACAGAACCATATACATGAAACTTTGTTTCTAACATTGATTTTTTTTATCAAATCGATGGACTAGGCTCAATTACTCTTAATTAAAGTTCATATCTGGCTTTTAAACGAACTGGTAGATTATACATGTAGGTATATTCAAAAGGCTTCATTCACACATTGCTTATGTCATTTACTATATAGCCTTGTTGTTTGTGAGTAGTATGCCAACAATGAAACAGAACTTTGTTATTGTTGCTCAGCCAGGCGATAACAACGTGATAATTTTCAAGTACATAATGTTGTTCAATTAATATCTCAAATATCGATTTTGTCGATCTGTTTTACACCTTTACATGTACCAGTTGTTTTGTATACCTACATATTTTGTTAGAATAGACATACATTTAACAATAAAAATGACACAATGATGATGAAAATATAGCTTTTTATTTACATCAAAACATTTCTTATAGTGTGTATTCTGTTGCCTCTTGAAGGGAGACAACTCAAATGGCGATATCATAATATGTAATGTATTATTGATCATAATACCAGGTTGTGATGAAAATTAATCTATCACGTATGTTGACATGCCATTCCATTTATAAACAATAAAATCTCGATAGTATGCGCCTCGCTTATATACGGTAAAATCTCGATATGCCTTTTTCCGTTGCTTCATTAACCTCGTTATTTCGTCTTAATGGTTAAATTTTAAGTTTACAAAGTGACATTAATAAAAATTCCATATAACGCCTTAATTTTATTCCCCGAAAAATGGTGGGAGGTTTTTTTACGTTAAATATGCACAGCACAAATGCATTTTAATAGTATAAAAGCGAAAGTAGGAAAATTGAATATTCAATTTTTACTGTATCGTATTTGACAGCATCTTCAAAAGAATTTAATCCTTAAATCCGTATATCATATTATTAGAATTATGTATACTTTAATAAATTTAAGGCGTAAAAAAAGTAAGAAAACTCGCACATATATCACATTTGCAGCTAAATGAACAAACTGGTCGCGTTATAATATGATTACATTTTTTATGTCGCTTGTCTTGTATTAGTTAGTGATGAACGTATGTGAGGATACCGGTATACGGTTATTTTGGTCAAGCTGATGAGTGATTATTTTATTAACGAGAGTGTTATTGAATTAGCAAAAACAGTGGCATGGAAAAGTTCCCTTCCGGTTTGCTCGATGGCGCAGTAATATGTGTACAAAGATGAGAAGATTATTTCCAAATGAATAATAATCACAATAGCCATATCATTATTTTAAACTTGCACATCTCCCATGAAACGATCAAAAAGTCTCTTTTCTCGTATACGTCCTGATATATCAAAACTAACAATTTCTTAAAATACCAAATCTATTTACAGAAACACTGACAATGTCCACTGTTTCAAGTTACAATCATGACATCATAAGATTGGTATGTACTTCTACTCATCCCTTCATAATCGATTGGTAATATTTTGTTCATATCACACCTTGACTGCTAACGTACTATGTACATGTACACATGAAACCGTGCATCATTCCTCCATGTCAGATGCCATTTTATCACAGAAAAGTCAATATATGTATATCTTTATCCACTTCAGGTAAGTCGTCAGAAATGAACGTGTTCACCACACACTTATCGCTCCAAGAGAGTCCGTATAATATGCTGTATATACACACAATAAGATAATAGTCGAATGATGTCTTTTCCATACTGATATATATATCATGCAAACACGCTTAAATATGTTTTCTTCCTCACACTTGACTGACTTGCCCATCCCCTGTACGGTCGGGGGTGAAGAGGCAATGCGCACCGGACAGACACTGAACTAGCTGAACCTCGTTCTATAATTGCTGACACAAACAAATGTTCCGTTCAATATAAGGATGTCACTATTTCTTGGAAAGGTTGAAAACATTGGTACCGCTATTCCTGATAGATCTCCATTCCTACCTTACACATGTTTCTCAGTGTTTGGACGTTACCAAGTAACAACAGCTGATTGCAAATGGACACTTCTTGTAGGTCAGTCATTGTCATTGTTGATCCCCAATAAATAAACCGTTCTCCATGGCCGTTACAGTTACTGTTTACGCCTTTGTTCTATTTTATGTCGACGTGTTTGTAATATTATTGATAACAGAACGATTCTAACAAAACAAGAATTAGAAAGCACACAATACACAGTTGCTTTGTGAGTGTCTATTCTTCCAATTACAATGTGCTTTATATTGAGCTCTTGAAAATGGTCAAAATCACGTTACAAAAGTCGATTGACAATCAATGCATTTCTGTCCTTGATAGATAATTTGTAGACGATACAGAGATGCAGAATCTTCTATTCAGTAAATAAATTAGTTTACATCTATATTCCTTTATCTTATCTTTTGTAAGGCCTGACATTTGCTTACAGATACACTGTTTTTGCATATGCGAGCAATAGATATACTTCTGTGACTCCAAAGACTCTCACATCTGAAGCCAGGGTTGTTTATACAATACAGCTACATTGTTGAAGTCCTTTCCCGGGTAAACACACTGAATCTCCTACGAAGGTGAGCTCTGATCAATTTGGGCGACCCCAGAGGTGCGTGCGATAATGATAACTTCCTCTGGGCTTTGATGTGCGTGTCACGTTTTTCCAGTATCTGAACGAGATAGAAAATTAAAAAATAACAATAATTGGAGACAAACATTAAACATTGCTCTCATAACATGTCTTTCGCGTATATTTTTTGTCGAACCAACCAGAAATCGAACAACGAAGGACGCAAAAACTAAACATTCGTGTCAAGAAATCATGTGCAAATGAACACTTATGCTTAGCGCAAATTTTACTTTCGAGATTAACAGCCTGAAGACAAACACAAAGATAGGTCATATAGGTCTCAATGAAAATAAAAGTTAAAATAAAAAAATAAAAATGTTTCGAAAATAGTTTTTTGGTACTTAAAGCATAATGCTATTGCTGATAAACTAAAGATCCGGAAGGGCGATATGTTATTACGTCATCAATAACAATGCATTCGATCAGACCAAAACATCATTTGCTAAAACAACTATTATCTATATTTACATTTCATTTAAGTTTTACATCTTAATTTGTTGCTTAAATCGTAAGTTCGTTAGTTCTTGTAGAAGTCAGTATATTGTGTAAAGCGGCGACGTCACAACAGTAGTCACCTGACCAAATGATGTTTTATTCTCACTACACTTGTATTATCTATGCATTTCAATGGGAGGGTGAAGAGCAAGTGTACACGTCAGTGAATGCCTGTATCGTTAATAGCCATTAGCTGTCTTATATTATTTATATAGTTATGGGTTTGTACGAGATTTACACTCTCGTTTGTTTGGAGAAAAACATTTGTGACGGTTACAGTTACCAATATTTACCTTTCGGACAAGCATGTGGAAAATCTTCGTCACTCCTTCGGAATCTGATGACGCAGAACATTCGGAAAGCATGTACCCAGTGTTTCGCCATTCGATGTCCTCGGATTTTTGGTTAGAGACCGCCCTGGATTTGAAAAGTTACATAAATCTTGTAATATTCTACATAAATACCTTATCACAGTAAAACATTTAACCATTAAAAATGTACCTCTTGTCCATAAACAAGACAAGCATTACCACAAAGCAGAGTAAATATTTAAGTACAGTATATGTGACCTGGCTTTGTAGGTATCGCTTCAACTGCTGAAAATTAAACAGAAGTGGCACTGACTCTTATTTATGAATCAAAATGCATTCTACATAAAGTTATAGTCTGATATAATTCTGAACAGGAGGCGTCTACAAATCGAAAAATGCGATGTAGCACATTATGAACAATTGTCTGCAGCCCTTTTTAAAATTAAAGGACCTTAACTTTGAACAGAATATAGTTCAATACTTATTTATAATAATTATTTTCTATTTATTATTTATAATAACCATATGTTCAAATCCCAAATTATATCTCTTTCTTAAATTTCAATTTTTCAATAAATGGAAGGACCAAAAGCATGTATCGCCCAGCTTTCTCCAACGTTATGATTATGACGTCACAAATGTAATGCCATCATGATCACAACCCCATACCTATGGTCTGATAATTATTTGAATTGAAAATCGTATTTTTTTAATTTAATATTGTCTTACCGCGCGTGGTCAAGGTCGGATTTGTTGCCTAGTAATACAATTGGAATGCATGAACTACGTTCTTTTCTCAACCAATCAACGACGGATTCAGCCACGTCAAAACTCTGGCGGTCGGTGATGGAGTATACAACAACTGCGCCATCTATCTTCTGGAGACTCTCCTTTGAACCCGACTTTTTGTCTATGTTCTGTAATGATGTAATACCAAATACATTTTTGTCATTAACGAAGTGTCAAAACTTCACAAAAGATACAACTGATCATGTAGATCACAGATAGAAAATATCTTGTAATACACATTATTTAAAGAATTGTTTTCTATTTTTGGACAAGTTATGAGATGGAAACTCCGTTAAACGCGAACAATGGTTTGAATGTCAGAGTAGACTGAACATATTTTTCGACACGGAATACTATAAACTCTAATATGCTCTCCACCCATAATGAGGCTGTAATTATCAATTAAGGACTTTCGTTTAGGTGAATATGTGGCTATATGGACCTTAGAAAGCGATATTGACCATGACAAAATCAGGGTTAATACACATATTCATCGAAAAGTCATTAATTGTTATATAAGTTAATCATTACACAAGACGGGGCGTAAGCAAATCGTCAAAAGAAAAGTACTGCATTTGACAGAGAGTATTTTGATGTAACAATTGAAGTGACGTCATAAAGTGAACATTGACCTTATCTGTCTGAAAATATAAACACCGTGTCAACATGTCACATTACCGACCTCCCTGGTTATAATTCAACCATTGAAGATGTAAGGGGAAACAATCTATTATTTATCGCTAATAGATTTTTAATCACCTTTATTTTAAACGAGTAAAACGAGGTTAGAAAATCCCATTTATAAATACATTATATTTCATAAAACGTGACATTAAACATCAAAACAAAACCTGTTATTCTTTATTCAATTGGGCATTTTTACAATGACCTCTATACTGACCTTGCCACCAACATCAATGACCTTGAGAGACACTTGTTTGTCATCCAATGCGATGCTTCTTTCGTACGCCATTTCATCGCACTGCGCGTACTCGGTAAGGAATCTTCCGGTCAGAAAACGAACGACTAAAGCTGCAAAAATAAAAGCATTTGTTATTAATTTACAGCTATAACAAGGTTACAGTGTTTGTGATTTTGTTAATCGTGCTACTACTACAGTTATCTACGGGAACTCTTTTTAGTCATGCCAGCTCTGACCCCGTGCCAACAAGAAACAATCTGGGTGGTATCGAAACAATCACGTCAAACTAAACGTCTGTCTGACCTCTGACCTTTAAAATCGACAACAAGTGTGTACTACACGATCAGTAGTGGTAGACTTCTGGTTCCGACATTCCTCGTTATATTTAGCGAAAATCATTAGCATATATAAAATATTTATGTACACGTCAAATGAAGAAGTGAGGAAATTAACTTCATGTGGTCAAACAAAAGAAAATCCAAAAAAACATTAAACAGGTCAGAGGTTCGTTGTATCAAGGTCATACAATACAACACTCCCATTCCATGTACTGTCACTACATACAAGTTGAAAAAAGCTATATAATATACCGTAGACAAAATCAATACAACAAACAAGACCCAACATAAAATCAAAGACAAGGATGAGTTCCTACAAAATCAATAGAGACAACGACAACAGGTGGTCCAGGTAAGGAACTGTTTGCTGCTTCATAGGTGGTACTCATCATGATGTATCTCGTCAAATTCAGTAAACATACCCAATCCTGATAATCTTAATCATAATTTCGTAGGTCATATACAAATCTTGATACCTCTAAATATATCTTCATACGAGTATTTTTTTCATTACAGCTGGTCAAGATCAAACATCTTTAATATCGTCATTTTTCACCGTCAGAGGAACCCAAAGACACACACGTAAAAACGGTTACTGATACAGTGAGCCAAAAATAAATCATAATGTACCACAAAGCTGTAATAACTGGTGAAAATATGGGTGTTTTGCAATACAGGTGGAAGTGAGATTTTTTACCACTGCATCATCTGTTTACACTGAACACGTGTCACTATAATGTAATAACAGGCCTGGCACATTTACCAGAAGAAGAAAAAAAGAGAAAAACACCCACATCAAATTCCGAAAAGAAACCAAGGCAAGACACAGTGGCAATTATCTGATAAGCATTTAATGTATTCACTCAAATACGATTACAAAAACAACGTGTTGCTCAACAGCGCTAACATGAATGTCAATCATCAAATTATAGTTAATACTGTAACGAAAATTACAAGATAATATTATAACATATCTGAGTACCTATAAGACCTTACATAATAAAACCATATACCATTAGATCAATGTTTGTTGTAGAAATATTTTAAAAAGGATTCTCATCAAACAATTCTGAGGAAGAGAGGAGATGACGAAATGTTACAGATGTTAGTATCTTAATTAGACACAGATACAATAGAAACCAAGAACAAAAGAATCAGGGTGAAATCTGAGAAGCGGAGATGCCAACGCACACGTTTGTACTACACAGGGTAAGTAAAATAGCAAGATTACACCATCTTCAGTTACATCTATCATACCTTGTAATGCAGTCAGATAAACTAAGGTTGGTTGGTGTTTGGGTGTTGCCTTCTTATATAGCGATACTCCATTTCTTAACCCGATAACTTCCAATCGTGCATAAGTTAAGTGTAGATTAAGTGGATATAGCAAAACCATCAGGATTCAACCTCAACAAAAATAAGTGAAGCTACATAGGAGGTCAATTGAAGCGTTACATATCAAGCATGTTCATCATTTTTTCAATACACAACAAACTAGGCACGTGATCATGAACACGTGATGTGATCATGAACACGTGATCATGAACATATTGATCGCCTTGATTCTGTTGTAACAAGCTTTTTAAATGTAGTGATAAGACCTGTATTTTGCTTTAAACTGTCTGCAAACCTGTTGGTTCTTTCGTGTTATTTGTCTGGTCATCTTTAATACCAAAGCATGTAGTTTCATCATCATGATTACAGGTTTAATCGGCTGTGTAGCAAAGTGGTGATGTTGTTAGTTGTGTAGGTTTTCGATGTCTGCCCGGTTGTTTTAAATGTTGTGATTAATTAAACTTAATGAATTGTTAACCCAAAATATCCAAATGATATCAAGATTGATTGATCTACAAATTTAGAAAATAAAATGTTTGTTTCAACAATTTGAATCTATAAATACTAATTGTGATTTGTTTGTTTTTCATCTTATTTATAAACTTCAATATTGTTGTTTTCATCAGCTTTTGAACAGTTGAAAACTAAAAAAATAAATATATAAAGAACAAAAATATTTCACAACGTCAACACACATACAAAATAAAACTCGAGCATGATTGTCGAGAGGCCGAGGAACAAAGCAGACACCAACGAAAAGAAATAAGGAAAGATTAAAACACAACAAGAAGAGGAGGGACACCAAACACCAAGACTTCATTACTTTAATGACATAATACTTTTGAAGAGGTGTTTACAAACTGCCTACAAAATCTGCATCTCATTAGACGAAATATTATCACTTTACAACTTTTCGAGCTGGAATGTTTACTTAACACAGCATGAAGCTGACGGAACCGAACACTAGTGCAATATGGCCTTCAAAACGGAGATAAAATAGTGGTTTTGTTTAAATGTTTACAACACAGGTGGGCAGAGGGACTAGTGCGTTATAGGCGTACGTGATGCTGAAAAATACGTCCACGATCTCCTCGAAGATTAAGGTTCTTTAACCATGTTTATTTTTACTCGTTTACAGTTATTATATCTAATTCCCGTATTACACTTCAAAGGATTGGATATCAGTTTAAGGCCATTCCCAACTGTGTGTAGGTCCCATCTTTGCTTTCAATCATTGATGTTTATTTTGTTACTTATGCTAATTTAGAAACCATTAAATAGTTTGGTAGATTCATGAATAACAACTTTAAAGAATGTATGCATTTTTTTAATAAATAAACGAAAATCATCTACCTCATAGAGAGAGACCCCATTCATAGGTTTTAGTCTGTTGTCTGGTTCCGTTTGATATATCCTGTTGATGAAAATGAAGTACAATATTGTCCATCTCATATGTAGAGGAGAAGTCCCGAATCCCAGTAAATTAGTGTTTACGTGTGTATTACTGGTACATTTTTATCATTTAATTAGATTTACCAGGACTAGATATAAATGAGTATCTTAAAATCCTATATGATAAGATGTAATTTTCTTTTATTCACATGCAATTTATCCGGGAAATATTTTTCTCACTTTCCCTTGAAATAGAAATGTCTGTTTTATGACCTTATCATCTCTCTGCTATTATAAACGACACTCCATAATTTACAAATGTTTGTCTTGCACTATAAATGCCACTGTCTGCAGTAAGAACAGAAACAACGTTTTAATTGACTTCCGTTTGCACACGTGTATCATATCATAAACTCTCTAGTAACTGGGTCAGTTGACTTTAGATCTGTCTGTGAGTGGAAATGAAGTATGGGTTACGTAATGATCTTCAGAAACGCCAACGTGTTGTGAAAGTTTATGCGACCTTTATGTGGGAAAGGTCTTCACTGAAACATGTTTAAATTACTTCATATCTGATACAAGGAGCTATCCGGTTTATTGTTAACATATTGGTAACATTTACTGGGCTCTGAACTATTTAAACATATCGGAGTTGAAGAATTTGACAAATTGGATAATACAGTGTTTGTGAATTTCTGTTAATGAAATGGCTAAGCGTCACGTTACATTGTAGAATTGGCATAGAAACACCTTTTGAAAATTTGTTAAATGTCGATGCAGGAAGCAAAACAATTCAACTACTTTACTGTTCCATAGTGTCATTTAAAGAAATATCTTACCGAATGTGCCAAAGACGTTATTCAAAGCCTTCATTCATATTACTTGGGTGTAATTTTGGCGTCGGCGTTGCAGGTCTATATTGCTGCGATGTTTAATTGTTGTATTTTTTTTATTATAGCTAAATGTAAGTTTTGTATCAACGTTAGAGTATGGAATAATAACTAGAAATACTATAATATGTTTTAAAACAGTGGTGTGTTAAGTGTGGATGTTATGTGGATGAGTAGATGTGTATTGGGCCGGTATGACTTTCTAAAGAATGCTAGGCCTATAACCGGATCGAACAGTTCCTTTAACCGATGAATGTATACTTATAAAATAAAGAAAAACGTTTATTGTCTAAATGTACGAGTAAATATGAATTTTTAGAGCTAATACGAAGATCACGTGTTTATCAAACAAAAAGGGTTGTTTTGCACGGACCCACCTGCAAGTGCGTCGGTAAAGGTTGTGTTCAGAATTCAACATAATCAATCAATGCATATATACTTCAAGCTAGAAAAGTCGGTTAAAAATTATTAAACCAGCTCTGCAATGCTATTTCTGGTCAAACTGAAATGTATTAGTACTACCGGATTTAGCTACAATGCCACTCTACTATATAAAAATCCAAATAACTAGAATAAATTCAAGTCGTAAATTACATTTCGTTTGAGCTTTCACAATCATTTTCTAATTTATTAAGTTCCCCTTCTTTAGCTTCGTATTCTTTCTAGAAATCGTAGAGTTCCGCTCCCGATACACCTATCTTCTCTTCACCCTTGAAAAATGTCTTGACAAAATCGAATGCTTGCGTTAAACTTTTTGATTAGTTTGGTTTTAGGTATAGAAACCTGACCTATTGATTGGCTGCTACATTTCCTCACAGAGGAGCTACACCGAACTTCCATGCCGGTTGATTTTACCGTTACAATGCCGCGAGATCCCCTTGATCTCAACTAAAGACATCGGACTAATCTACTGGTATCATTCGCAAGGCGTCGCTTATGGAGTTTCTGATTGTTTTTCAGGACATATTCCAACGATGAAGAAAAGATATGTATATCGTGAACGGGACGAATGAATAACGAAAATGCTTCATATTTTGATTTCAGAAACCAAGACAATAAATCTGTTCAGCACTACTAAATCATACGTGATATAACTCATCTTCAAGTCATTTACTTCACTTTCCTCAATTCCGTCTTTGTGTATTGCAGAGTTAT